TTCAGGCTGTATATCTGCTGAATATCCAATGATACCATAGCTTCATATTTTTATTTATCTTCTTTTTACTGCCTAAGCTTTAACTCATTTTCTTATACCAACTGTATGTGTGTGTGTGTGGGTGTATGTTAGACTAGTTTAAGTGTTTATGTAGTTAAAGTCTTACTTGTTAGTTGCGATTAATCGCATGATTGTCATGAGTTAACTTGTGATTAATCGCTTAATTAATCACAATCGCTTTTAACTTTTTTATCCGTTCTAAATGTACCTTAAATTAATACTTTTCAAGTTTTTAATACTCTAATCAACATGGGCAAGGACAAATATGGATGCTTTATGCAAATGTATGTTTATTATTAGTGAAACCATAGTTAACACATAGATCATAAAGCCTAGACATGTTTCATAGGTCATAGATGTTTTTCAAAGAACTTGTTCATGTCTATTAGACACATGAAAAAAGAACATAGAAATACCAGGTTCCCATTACTTCTCCTTCTTTGCACTGAGCAATTTACTTACACAAGCCTGTTTACATTTTCGCAGGACAGGGCAGCTCACTTCTTCTGAACATGCAAAATGTACATTTATTATTTATTATTACATTTGTTTGCCTCTCTGTGCCCACATACTGTATTTTGATGAAGCTAAATTCTCAATAAATCAGTTTTCATTGATATATTTTACTGTTTCTGTTGTCAGACAACGGAATGAATATGAACTAGTGACTGAAATGCGACCCATTAAGACTACATAACCAGCTCTCCCTTCCAAGATGTTAATCTGCACAAAAATCCTGATTTACAATCAAGCCGTCGTCTGAAAAATTCAAATAGGCTACACATAAGATAAAGACAATAGCTGTGCTGTGATTTCGGCTATACTTGCATGTAAAATTAGAGAAGCAACATAATCTGTTTTAACTGAAAGCAATGCTCCTCTTCACTGCTCGCTGAACAGAGCAGATGCAGAGAGAGGTGTGTACACAGTGGGAAAGACAAACCTCGCGCGGCAGTACTGGCGAGTCTCAGAAACTAAATAAGGTTTGGGCAAACCCTAAAGATTTGGCGCTAGGTGCTTTTTTTGATAAAAAAAAGAAGAAAAAAAAGTCACTATGGGGTCTGAAAAGTCGCTAAATCTGAATCGCTACGTTGGCAACACTGTGCATCTCCAATTCTTCAACTATGGGTTAGGCCACGGGTCAAACAGAAAATGCACGCTGCATTAATCGCGCCTTAATAAAATTAGTGCCGTTAAAATGAATTTGCGTTAACGGGTTATGAAAAAATTATATATATATATATATATATATATATATATATATATAGACATACATACATACAGTATCTCACAAAAGTGCAAAAGTGTAATTTCTACTCAAATATTGCTATGTTAATTATGGGCTCTGTATTCTTGTGCATTTGGAATTTGATATCAGTGCCTGACAACATAAAAATAACTAAAAATGCTGCAGAAGTGGAGCGAAACAAATCATAAATTTTACAGCTACAAACCTGACATGGCTGCATCAACACTACTGTTGTTCCTGAAACCACGCTTTCTTTCTTTGCATGCACATTTGGACGGCATTATGCTAATATTGCCACATAGTGACGTAGACATGTGGGGGCGTGTTAGAATGAGCCGTTTTAGGTAGGCGTGGTTGACTCTTAAATTTCATAAAGAATATCTCTTTGGATTTGAGACTTTAGTCTTTGCAACTTTACAGATCTTCTTTATGCACCAAGAGCTTGTAACACTCCAGAGAAAAAGGAAAACTTGAAATCGCATCATATGACCCCTTTAAATTAAATAATACTCTAAATAAGAAACTAAAACTGCCAGCAGGTGGCGGTTAATGTCTTTATGAGTCTTTAATTCGATTCATTCAAACGGCTTATTCATTTAGAAACTAAACACTGCTGTGCCTCTCACAGACATGCAACAGTTCAGCTGTGGCTTTATAGGTAATATTTTTGTTGGCAAAACTGAGAAAAAACGAAATATAATAAAGAATACAACACAATATTAACTTCTTATTTACTGAACCGTTATGTAAAATCATGCTATTCGGGACAAACAGCACTCGTGAGATATTGCTCTCGCTGCTCGTGTGATATCGCTTATCATGTGATATAAATATAAGACAAAAACTCATACAGGGGCATTTTTGCCCCATATCTTGAATAACTGCATTTATGGAGTTGTTACCCTGCATCTAGGGCTGTGACGGTGGCAGATTTTTATCACCGCGGTGGTAATGGACCAACTACCGCCGGTGGCGCGGTGTTGATATATATATATAATTAATATTAATTATATATATTTTATGTATACACATTTTATTTATATATATATATATATATATATATATAATTTCGAAACAAATAATAATAAATCAATCATCTAAGGATCAATCTATTAACAAACGTGCGTGTTTATTTTAGCACTTCCATAAGTGAATACGCAGCCTGCAAAACACTCAAATAAATATCAAAGAAATAATATAGTTAAACAAGAAAGTAGACTAAATAAGAAAAGTTAAATACACACTGTCTACAGGACGCGAGTGGCGCAGCGCGACACGACAAAATGCTAGGCTATAGAACTCATTATAATCAGTGATGCTACACTGGATGCGGCACGGCACGACACGACATGACAAATCCCCGACAGTAAACTGCCTCGTCCTATTTATGAGGTACTGACACAAAGTTCAAATGTCCTGTGTAGACACTAGACAGAATCAACCTGTTGCAACGCAGCGTTGTGTCAAGTCCGGTGTAGACACGGTTCACTGTTTCACCGCCAAGCAAGCGGGCGCATTAACTCCTCGTCTGCACACTCTCTCTTTGAAATAGGAATCGTTCCCACATTTCTTGTTAACATCTACCATTTATCGCTGTCTCGACTGTATTTGGCCAGTTTGGAGAAAGTCTCACCAAACCTGACCAGCCAGGCGTTTGCGATCAGACACTGGTATAAACGTGGATGGGTGACATGAATGGAGATGGCTCCAGATTGGCAATGTATTATTTGGTTTCCCAACAAGGTCCATCGCCCAACACAAAATTTATTTGTTGAATGCAGAATAAACTGTATTTTCCTGCGCTCATACCTGCCAATCTAAAGCAAACGCTGTGTATGGCGTTTGAGGTAAGGGTAATTTGTGAATTACCATAGACTTATAGTCTAAATAAAACAATTTGCAACTATTACTGTTATTACACTTGTATAAAAAACTTTGTATTATGCTTGTTATAGAGTGATACGTAAACAGCGTATAGAGCATACGCTGTTTACGTCCAGCGGATACTCTCCAAAATGGCACTAGGAGGAGACGAATTGTTGAATAAAGTCGTTTTTTTTTTCATTTGCGCACAAAAATTATTCTCATAGCTTCGTAAAATTATGGTTGAACCACTGATGTCACATGGATTATTTTTACAGATCTCCTTGCTACGTTTCTGGATTTGGGAAAATTTCAGTTGTATTGCTGTCTATGCAGGGTCAGACAGCTCTCAGATTCCATCAAAAATATCTTAATTTGTGTTCCGAAGATGAACGGAGGATTGCTTGTAATCTGCTAAATGTGACTATAAAGCATCAAGTTATTAAGATATAAACATTATGATTTTCTTTAAAGCAGCTTTAAAAGCTGAAAAAAGCACTTAAATTAATTGACAATAGTCAAAAGTAAAAAAGAATATTGTTTTGATGGCAGCTGTGTGATGTTGGGAGTACCTGAACTTGAGGAGGCCATTTCGGCCGTTGGTGGTGTCCTCCTCTGGAAAAAGCAGGAGGGGTAAAGCGGCAAGAGATGAGCAATACCTCTGGAGGGTCTCTGTCAGCTCTGCCCTGCTCTGTACACCCTGACCCAGCTCCATAAAACCTCTCGCCCAGCACAGGAACCCCACAGGGCCCTCCAGCAGTGGCTAAACACAAAGAAACAGACAGGAAAACATGGTTACATGTAGCTGATTAGCTAAAGCATGATGTTAGTCATGAAGTTAACAGTAATGAAATGTGTAAAATAAATATAAAGGGCTATACAGTCATTAAAAGTATCTCTAAATGGCTCGAGTTGTCTCATTTAACTCTTAATGTTAAAAAAACTGTTTCCATGTGCTTCTCCGTACGAAATAGGCCTGCAAGGGATGCCACATTGAGTACATCTGTAAGAAGGTCAAACCAAACCTAAATTGTTTTCGTGTTATTAGAAGGGACTTGTCATGTCAAACTGCAAAATTATATATGCATGCAATGATATTTTCACATTTATCATATTGTGTCACATCATGGTCACAAGTCCTCCAAATAAATTAAAGCCTATTATTTCAATATACAAACAGGCAATAAAAGTTATGGACCAGAAACCCATGAGATAGCATCATTGTGATGTTTTAAGAAAGCATAACCTTCTTAGCTTCGATAGTTTTGTTGATTTTAATTATCTCAAATTGGTTTTTAAATGTCTAAAGAATCATGTTTCACCACTGTTTTCTGAATTGGTCAGAGCTCTCATAGGGCAAACACACGAGCCACTATTAGTGTTGACTGTCTTGTTCCAAAGTATAAGACCTCCTTTGACCAATCTGCTTTCTCTGCAAAGGGGCCAAAACTCTGGAATGCTTTACCTACTAAATTAAAACTAGAGACCAATGGTAATGCTTTTAACAGAGGACTTAAACAATGGTTAAAAACCAAACAACAGTGTTCACATGAATAGTTCTTCATACCAAATTATTATTGCGATATTGTCTGATGTTGTCTTTGCTTTATAGCTTATGTATGTAAATAATTTTGGATGCATTGTTCCTTCTTTTTTGTAATTTTATGGTATATTTTTTTTCTTTTTCCCTTTTTCTTTATTAGTATTGTTATTATTACTTTTATTGTTAACATTGTTATTATTAATTTATTTTTTGCTTTCTGAAAAGCCTCTCATGGACTGGTGTTGAAAATTAGCATGTGTGCTAAAACACTTAAGCAAGTGCATATGGTTTGTCCAATGTAACTGTGATCTCCATGTTAAATAAAAATTTTATAATAATAATAAAAAGAACCGCTGAAGAACCAAAATGTGTATGTGTGTCAAGTCAAGGCAAGTCAAGTCACCTTTATTTATATAGCGCTTTTATCAATACAGATTGTGTCAAAGCAACTGTACAGCATTAATTAAGAAAATAGTGTGTCATTAATGCATAGTGACAATACAATAGTAAACACTCATTTTTCAGTTAAAGGCAGTTCATCATTGAATTCAGTGATGTCATCATCCAGCTCAGTTCAGTTTAAGTAGTATCTTTGCAATCATTTGCAATCAAGTCAACGATATCGCTGGAAATGAAGTGTCCCCAACTAAGCAAGCCAGAGGCGACAGTGGCAAGGAACCAAAACTCCATCGGTGACACAATGGAGAAAAAACCTTGGGAGAAACCAGGCTCAGTCGGGGGGCCAGTTCTCCTCTGGCCAGACAAAACCAGCAGTTCAATTTTAGGCTGCAGCAAAGTCACATTGTGCAGAGGAATCATCTGGTTCCTGTGGTCTTGTCCCGGTGGGTACTTGGCCCTCTGTTGTTTACAATGTACATAAATGACTTACCAAATTGCTGTCCGGGTGTCGGCTGCCAGATGTATTCTGATGACACTGTCGTCCATGTGTCCACTACAACACCAAGCCTGGCAGGTGAGCACCTGACACAGGCATTACATAACACCTCTAAATGGCTTAAGTTGTCTCATTTAACTCTTAATGTTAAAAAAAACAGTTTCCATGTGCTTCTCCATACGAAATAGGCCTGCAAGGGATGTATTTGAGGTGCGGATTAAAAATGAAGTAATTGAAGCAGTGAATGAAATCAAGTATCTTGGGATTATTCTAGATAAGAATTTAAAATTTGATAGTCACATTGAGCACATCTGTAAGAAGGTCAAACCAAACCTAAATTGTTTTCTTGTTATTAGAAGGGACTTGTCAGGTCAAACTGCAAAATTATACATGCAATGATATTTTCACATTTATCATTGTGTCACATCATCGTCACAAGTCTCTCCAAATAAATTAAAGCCTATTATTTCAATATACAAACAGGCAATAAAAGTTATGGACCAGAAACCCATGAGATAGCATCATTGTGATGTTTTAAGAAAGCATAACCTTCTTAGCTTCGATAGTTTTGTTGATTTTAATTATCTCAAATTGGTTTTTAAATGTCTAAAGAATCATGTTTCACCACTGTTTTCTGAATTGGTCAGAGCTCTCATAGGGCAAACACACGAGCCACTATTAGTGTTGACTGTCTTGTTCCAAAGTATAAGACCTCCTTTGACCAATCTGCTTTCTCTGCAAAGGGGCCACAACTCTGGAATGCTTTACCTACTAAATTAAAACTAGAGACCAATGGTAATGCTTTTAACAGAGGACTTAAACAATGGTTAAAAACCAAACAACAGTGTTCACATGAATAGTTCTTCATACCAAATTATTATTGCGATATTGTCTGATGTTGTCTTTGCTTTATAGCTTATGTATGTAAATAATTTTGGATGCATTGTTCCTTCTTTTTTGTAATTTTATGGTATATTTTTTTTCTTTTTCCCTTTTTCTTTATTAGTATTGTTATTATTACTTTTATTGTTAACATTGTTATTATTAATTTATTTTTTGCTTTCTGAAAAGCCTCTCATGGACTGGTGTTGAAAATTAGCATGTGTGCTAAAACACTTAAGCAAGTGCATATGGTTTGTTCAATGTAACTGTGATGTCCATGTTAAATAAAAATTTAATAATAATAATAATATTCTTTTATTATTGAAGCTGAATCAAGAAGGGAACACTGTGTGAAGGTAAAAGTACATTTTAAAATACATCTGAGCAATGCATACACTACCATCTAAGGGTGTTTTCACACTTGGCACTTTTCAGGGGTCTGAGCACGGTTCTCGTGATTTGTGGCCCATATGTGAACTCTCTAAACGATCTCAGACCCCTCAGAAGCTAACCGAACCGAGTCCATCTCGGGAGGTGGTCTGAGTACGGTTCGCTTTTGGCTAAAGGTACGGTTCGCTAAAAACATGCATTGTGAACACAAATCGGCCTGGGCTCACTTGAGTTTTCCATTTGCGAATTCCAATGTAGTTTGGCCATCAGATGTTTCCGTACAAATCAGCTGTTCATAGTAGCTGCTTCTTCTGGCAGATCTCTACAAATTGTTCGCTCACAACATACACTCATTTATTTTAATTTCAACCGCTTCCAAACTGTGTAAGAGAGACACGGCTGTGCTCCTTGCCAGTTTAAACTTTTTGATATAGGCTACGAGCGCACACATCCCAGCGGGGGCTAAACTACACTCTCTTTAGCATTTATTGTTTCAACTGTCAAAAACACTCATGGTTCACATAAACACAGTTGGTTTTGTCTCAATCGAATGTAAACATTTGGGAAAGAAATTGCATGTGTAACTGATCTGTGCAGTATGTAGTTCAAGTACAGCAGCCTAATATGAGAATCAGTAGAATCTAGTATTCATATGATTAATAATATGAATTTCATTTTTTTCATTTGATTAGTACATTTCTTACTTAAATGCTGCATTTAAAGATACCTGTACTGTACCTGAAAAATTTAAAGCAGTTTATTATATTTTATTTGTCCAAATTTTTTTTTCTATCTCAATGTCAGCATGCCTTTTCCGCTGGTCCTTAAAAAGTCTTGCATTTAATTGTATCAAATTTAAGGCCATAAAAAGTACAAAGGGGACAGAAAGACAATTGTCATATAGCTTAATGTGATGATTAAAATGAAAAAGGCTATGATTTCATTGGATAAATATGAGCGCTGCACCTTTCAAAGTCTATCTTTATGCAGTTCTAAAAGCGCCACCTGCTGGCAGAGAATTAATTTGCATTTTTTAACAGCCCTTCTGCTGGTTTAAAATAAGAATTGATATTAAAACAGCCATTAAACCATTAATATAATAATTGATACATTTGATTTTTGACTCTTTTCTTAAAAATGGTTTGAAATTTGAAAGGCTGAAATTTGAAATTTTATTTAATTTTTTTAAATATTTTTTTGTGAAAACCTGTATCTGAGCTGTAAATCATGCTTTTTACAGTCATTTTAAAAATTGCCCCACCCCACTCATATGGCATTAATTTTATCTGTGCAGGTCTTAAAAACAGTCTTAAAAAGTTTTACATTTGAGCTTAAAAATCCTGCAGAACCCCTGTGTGCTATAAAATAAACACAATGACATTTACAAGGAAAACAATTCAAAATAAATATTACAAAGGTGTACGAACTTCTATTTTTGTGCAAAAGATAAAAATATTCCAGTTTTGGAGGCCATTGATGTTGTCTTTGCTTTATAGCTTATGTATGTAAATAATTTTGGATGCATTGTTCCTTCTTTTTTGTAATTTTATGGTATATTTTTTTTCTTTTTCCCTTTTTCTTTATTAGTATTGTTATTATTACTTTTATTGTTAACATTGTTATTATTAATTTATTTTTTGCTTTCTGAAAAGCCTCTCATGGACTGGTGTTGAAAATTAGCATGTGTGCTAAAACACTTAAGCAAGTGCATATGGTTTGTTCAATGTAACTGTGATGTCCATGTTAAATAAAAATTTAATAATAATAATAATATTCTTTTATTATTGAAGCTGAATCAAGAAGGGAACACTGTGTGAAGGTAAAAGTACATTTTAAAATACATCTGAGCAATGCATACACTACCATCTAAGGGTGTTTTCACACTTGGCACTTTTCAGGGGTCTGAGCACGGTTCTCGTGATTTGTGGCCCATATGTGAACTCTCTAAACGATCTCAGACCCCTCAGAAGCTAACCGAACCGAGTCCATCTCGGGAGGTGGTCTGAGTACGGTTCGCTTTTGGCTAAAGGTACGGTTCGCTAAAAACATGCATTGTGAACACAAATCGGCCTGGGCTCACTTGAGTTTTCCATTTGCGAATTCCAATGTAGTTTGGCCATCAGATGTTTCCGTACAAATCAGCTGTTCATAGTAGCTGCTTCTTCTGGCAGATCTCTACAAATTGTTCGCTCACAACATACACTCATTTATTTTAATTTCAACCGCTTCCAAACTGTGTAAGAGAGACACGGCTGTGCTCCTTGCCAGTTTAAACTTTTTGATATAGGCTACGAGCGCACACATCCCAGCGGGGGCTAAACTACACTCTCTTTAGCATTTATTGTTTCAACTGTCAAAAACACTCATGGTTCACATAAACACAGTTGGTTTTGTCTCAATCGAATGTAAACATTTGGGAAAGAAATTGCATGTGTAACTGATCTGTGCAGTATGTAGTTCAAGTACAGCAGCCTAATATGAGAATCAGTAGAATCTAGTATTCATATGATTAATAATATGAATTTCATTTTTTTCATTTGATTAGTACATTTCTTACTTAAATGCTGCATTTAAAGATACCTGTACTGTACCTGAAAAATTTAAAGCAGTTTATTATATTTTATTTGTCCAAATTTTTTTTTCTATCTCAATGTCAGCATGCCTTTTCCGCTGGTCCTTAAAAAGTCTTGCATTTAATTGTATCAAATTTAAGGCCATAAAAAGTACAAAGGGGACAGAAAGACAATTGTCATATAGCTTAATGTGATGATTAAAATGAAAAAGGCTATGATTTCATTGGATAAATATGAGCGCTGCACCTTTCAAAGTCTATCTTTATGCAGTTCTAAAAGCGCCACCTGCTGGCAGAGAATTAATTTGCATTTTTTAACAGCCCTTCTGCTGGTTTAAAATAAGAATTGATATTAAAACAGCCATTAAACCATTAATATAATAATTGATACATTTGATTTTTGACTCTTTTCTTAAAAATGGTTTGAAATTTGAAAGGCTGAAATTTGAAATTTTATTTAATTTTTTTAAATATTTTTTTGTGAAAACCTGTATCTGAGCTGTAAATCATGCTTTTTACAGTCATTTTAAAAATTGCCCCACCCCACTCATATGGCATTAATTTTATCTGTGCAGGTCTTAAAAACAGTCTTAAAAAGTTTTACATTTGAGCTT